TTTTTGTGTGTGTGTGTCCACAACCAACCCTGTACAACATTTAAATAAAATAGAAAAACACAGAAAAGAAATGTTCATTTTAATGAGCTATCAAAAGTTGAAAATATCAATAAAGAATTGGACAGTTTATATATTTTGTGTATGATTGGTTTCCTCCTGAATATAAGTTGTCATGCTGTATAGACTTCTGCCTGAAGGAAATAGGGTGAACGGGAGTCTTGAGATACGAGGCTGCCGAGGGTCAATTTTGTTGCAAATCTAACCACTCAGTGTCTTCTTCTCATCCTCTGGACATGTTACATTTTAGCAATTGTGCAAACTGTCAGAGTCCAGTGTTCTCTACCATCCACCAGTAACTATTTTGTTGTTTAAGAATAAGTACTTTTATGTACAGTTACATGCATCTTATGGGAAAACTCAGAACTACAATGATTGATCACTATTATTACAATGTTATGAACCAAAACCAAATATTTGTGAGTACTTGCATTATGATAAACTAATTCAAGCAACTAAAGCCTGAATACTCCATACTCTCATATATAACGTGTATATAAATCCACACTGTTTTCACTAAGCTGCTAGCGATTTGATAACATAGACATCCAGTCCGTACCAAAGCGACACAATTTTTAATTCATTTAATGATCCAATTAAAACCAGTGTGTATATGTTCCATTTGTGCTAATTAAATGCTCTATAAACTACACACTGGTGTGTAAACCAAACATGTAAATCTGACTCCCACGGAGACCAGCTATAACAAAGGCCTTTGCCTTTTTTGATTTTTCTTATGATCCAAAAATAAACCTGAAAAAGTGAAAGAAGTTTAACACAAACCAGAAAAAAAATTGTTTTTATTGTAAACATTAAACAATCAGAAAATCAACCTTGTTTAAAAAGAGAAATAAATGTAAAAATAGATTACACCAGCTGCTACTGATTTGTGATTTTCGTTTATTTAGGAAGAGCAGTGGTTTGCACAGCTATGACCTCATCACGTCCACAAAATCCACATGTCCACGTGCAGACAAATCCCATCTAAAAGACTAAACACACAAAAAGAGACTCACAAGGTGAGTAAATGGACACCTTGTCACAGCTTATGAATTCTAAGATGCTTGGCCCCTTAATTCAAGGCTCTGCCACTGGGTTGAGCATCCCAAGATTTTGGACAGCGGTTTGGCACTTGCATACGCAGTTGGACTCAGTGGTCAGGACACATGTCTACTCTCCTCTCAGTTAAGCCAGCCATGCCTGGTGTTGAACACACTGTCACACACACACACCATCTGTTAGCGCCAGCTCTCCTGGCTTGAACAAACATGGCTACGCGTAGGTAATGGTGCAGACAAAAATGGTGACCTTGACACTGTCGCCTGTGTGTGACCATGGCGAGATTGATGAGAGGCAGTAATCCTTTGATTTTGTTTGGTGTGACACGGACACCGCAATCCCTCGGAGCCTGGAAACCTGTCTATGAGTCGGTTGTTCTTAGCCTTTCTTGTCTTATTGAACTTTCAAGCTAAAAACATAATTACCAAAATTGGCTGTTTCAACAGTAAAACTTGGCAAAAAGTGACAAAAAAATTAGCATGAATGAAAATCGCTTTAGAATGCTGGACTTAATCATATCGTCCTCTTTTGCCTGCAGATGTATTTATTTATTTGTGACTTTCAAAGAATTTTCAAAAACATTTCTAATGACCATTTGTAATTCTAGCATTATTCAGTCATAAGAATAATAACAGTGACATATTCAGAATGTGCTGGTGACTGCCCCCCAAGACCCTTACTGAAAGAAGTTGTTTATTTCTAGTTTTGGTACCTAAACATGGATTAGCTGTATTGTGTTATTTTTTTTTCTTCCAAAACATATTTCAGAAAAATTCTGAACATTTCTTCTGTTGTGAAACCTGTACCATATAACCTCTGCTACGTCTGTATGAAGCCATCTACTGCCTTAATGGGTCCAGTCGGTTATTATTATTCTGAGAAATCCATTTATTACCTTTTTCTTGCACATTTGACAGGATTTGAAATTGAATGATGTCAAATTCAGTGCAATACTAGAATAAAGTAATTGGCATTAAAATTATGCTGCAATTCCTAAGGGAAGGAATTTTTTTGTCCAGATCTCCTTTAAAGAAGTCTTCGTAGCTACATTATTTCTTTCTAAAAGATGATTTATTTTAAAGGTTTTGGACAACGAATATATTTTGATGTTGGATAGTCTCACAGAACATTGGAAGGAACAAAGTTTAATTATGAACCTGAAAGATGAGACAATAGGTGATCTGTCATTTTCCACATTTTTGCTGACAACTATTTTGTATATATATATATATACGATGATCATGGAAGGAAAACACATACATGCCGAGAACACCATCTGTGCAGAGTATGGACTGGAAGCTCCAGGGTCAAAGTGGGAAACACCTAGCCTAGTGAACTAGACCAAGTTCTTGCTTTGCAAACTTTGGTCTAGGAACGCTCCACTGGAACCTCTGCAGCCCCTAACAGCATTCTGGCTGGCCAATCACAGCTCTCGAGAGGGGCTTCAAACACATAAAGAGCTATGATTGGTCCATAATGGTGGGCCAATCATAGTGCACTATCTGCTTAGTGAACAAATCACAGAGCTTTATCCGCTTTGTGGGCCAATCAGGGCACTCTATATGCCTGGTGGGTTGGATGATGCAACAGAGTGAAACAAGATGGTGACAGATGGCGTTTGAAACGGCTTTTACATAACTTTTGGACTATTAGAACTTGGGCTACATTAGAATCAGGAGCAGATAGATGTATTTAAGTGCTTTTTTATAGAAAAAATGATGTGTTTTCTCCTTCTTCAACTGTGGAGCACCTCATTTACCGATGGCTGTTGCGGTGTGTATGTCACATTCATTGTCCAGTAGCATGCGGAGATCATTTGAAAGACTACGGTAGAACCCGCCCCACAACCGAGAGCCGTCAATGGAGCGTTGCCAGATTTATTTAGTCTGGCTTGCCAGGCTAGGAAACACCCCCTAAGCTAATTGAAATTGAGAGAGCCAAGATCCTGTGGGACTTCTAGATTCAGACCAACAAAATGGTGATGGTGAACCAACCAGACATTGTAATGGTGGACAAACAACAGAGGACAGCTGTTGTAGTTGATGCGGCAAAACCAAGTGATGGCAATATCAGGAAAAAGGAACATGAGAAATTAGAGTACCGGGCTTCAAAGAAGAACTTGAGAAAAGCCTGGAGAGTGAAGACAAGGTGCCCATGGTTATTGGGGCACTCGGAGCATTAACCCCCCAAATTGGAGGAGTGGCTAAAGCAGATCCCATATAACATCAAACATTTCAGTCCAGATAAGTGCAGATCTAGGAACAGCTAAGATACTGCAGAACCCGTAACCCTCTGGAGGCAGGCGTTGCAAATTTGCAACGTTAAAACCTACCTACCTGGTTACTCAACCTACATATTTCATGAGCATTTTTTAACTCAGAAGAACCCCTGAAGGACTAGTTGTTCGTCCCATTATAAAAACTTATTTTGAGACTGAGAGGGTTAAGGTCCCAGGCCTCTGGTAGAGGACCTGAGCTTGGGATGATGAGATCACCCACAAAGGGAGAGATGGGAATAATCTCCCATGATATGTTTAGCTCTTAAATAAATAAATAAAATAATTAAATAAATAAATAAAATATTAGTGTGTAAAAATATAAAGCGGCAGTTTTTTAAATGAAAAATAGTGGTATACATTTCAGAAATCAAAGTTTGTGAAAGTGAATTTCATGCATCCCTCCCCCATAAAGAAATTTTAGGTGTTTCAGGAGAGTTTTAGGGCACTGTCAAGCTGGCCATGCCCACCCATCCCCAAGTTCAGGCTGCTATAAGTTGAAAGAGTCTGATATCCGGGAGGGACTTTGATTAGAGCTACTGCTCCTCCAGCTGCAGCTCTCTCATGTTTGTGAAAGGTGGTTCTTTTCTACTTTCCCCATTTGTGACATCACAAAAGGTTTGAAAACGGTTAATTTTACGCACATGATATTTTAAACCAAACACCGAAAGAAAGGGATTGACTTTTTTCACATTTGGATTGTTTCTAGAGGTGGCAGAGACCCTCATGCAGCATACATTGAGCAAAAGGTTAATTTTATTTAATATAAGGTAACACACCTCAACATATCTGTAGGCCAGCATCCATTTAAAGCTTTTCCTATTCAGACGAAACTTATGGAGCCAGAAAAGGTCAATAAAATGTTTCCATCAACCAGTCTTGAAATCTTGAATTTACTCTGTCAGATACACAAGATTCATCCAAATCACGTGCCTGCTCACTTTGCTCATTTAGTCATTTTACTCATTATCTGCAATTATTATTCGATCTGCTGCTGTCAGTGCAGCGCCAAAAATGGTTTAATTGAACCCGTTGGATCAATAGCACCTGCTATCTGGCTCTCATCTCAGTGTGGGGCTCTGTATTTATAATGCCATTGACTATTGAGCAGAATTGGCTCTGAAGCAGGATAAGCACCTGAGACAGGGGGAGGAGTGAAGAGTCATTTCTTTACAGCTTTCTGTTTTTATTTGCGTTTTCAGCCATAAGCATAAAACATATGGTAGCAAAAACAAAGGGGTTTAAGTAAATTGCTTTAGTCTATGCCTTGATGATGTCTAGGGAAATTAGATGTTTCAGCCCTTTGAGGAACACATGGAGGACCATTTGTGTTGGTTTTCTAAATGTGTAAAATCAGATTAACGTAAAGGAAAACAAAGCTGATTAAAATAAGAAAATAAAAACAGCAGCCAAATGATTCCACCCCATTTCCCATTATTCAGACTGCCACTCGGATTTAGTGCGGAGATCTGGTGTGTGTGTGTGTGTGTGTGTGTGTGTGTGTGTGTGTGTGTGTGTGTGTGTGTGTGTGTGTGTGTGTGTGTGTGTGTGTGTGTGTGTGTGTGTGTGTGTGTGTGTGTGTGTGTGTGTGTGTCATAAACCGGTGGGGTTAGTTTCTCCCAGGGCAGCGGAGTGGATAGGAGGGGCTGCGCTGCGCTGCACCGTGCAGCCACTCACCTCTGACTGAATCCCATTTCCACCTTTCATCCTCCAGCTTGTCCCGCGCCAGGATGGATCCGAGTGGGTGCGCTCGGACCCGGTGAGGTGTCAAGAGGAATGCGGTGGGACGGCGTAGCGCGGTCTGGGCGTCGGTGATGTTTGATGTGGTGACTGTGGAAACTGCCAACTCGTCGGAGAGTCGACAGCTCACTGGTGCGCTCTTGGAGAGGAGGAACGAACGTGTGGATGGGAGCGATTCCCCTGCAAAAACCGCTCCTTTGGCTGTTTTGGTCCAACGCGTTGAGGCGATAATTGTTTACGAGGGAATCGGGACTGATTGATCAACTGATTGCTTCATTCTGACTGTGGACGATTCATGCGCTGATAGCACATACGAGGCCAATATGCCACAATGGGTCCTCTACTCTTTTTATCTCTCTGTGGACTTCTGCACACCCGCACCGACGGTAAGTTCATAACTGCATTATATTCTCTATTACATTTGTCAAACGGCTCGCCCAATAGATGAACCAATAGATTGCGACGGGCATGCTTCCCATTTCCTCAGAAATATTTGATTCTAATGGTTTAGTTCTCTGAGTTGTTGTGATGTAGATTGCTGTAGGCCAACTCTATAATGGCTCCTTTAGACATAAGTTGCTCATTTATTAATGAGGGTTGCTCCAACATGTCTGGTGAAAATTAAATCATATGACATTTGAACAAATTAAAGGTGTTCTCGGCAGCAACATCACTAAAATGCAACTTTTAAAACGTGTTTCTTTACTATTGTGTGGAAGAAAAATACTTTAGTCCATATAAATGCATGGCTGTGATTCTGTTGATGCTCATTGATGTGCACCTCATACATATGATCCTGACTCATCATTTTGAAACTTTTCTCTCTATCGGGATCTAGTAAAGATATAGTCGAATTTTAACATTTCTAAGCACACTGGGTTTTTTTACACACATTTTGTTTTATTTCAACTCCACAACAAATGTTCAGCTCACATTGTTGCTAGTTGTTACTTTTATTTTTAAAATAAAGTAAAAAACAAAGTTATTTTTTGTTTTGTTTTTCTGATGTAATGGAGTGCTGACTGATTTGGAAGGTTGATGCATCTTGGTTTGGATTGTTGTTTAGCTTTGTTTCTTGTGTTTTTATCCCAAGGTTGTTCATTTAAGGGTTAAAACAATGGCAATTACTCACGATTATAGCATGTGTATCTTTATAATCCATAACCAGTCAGATTTTTTATGAAGCATTTGCTAGAAGTAAGTTATCCTCCTCTGATTGACTGCATTGGCCAAAGGGAACATAAACTCTGATGTGTTAGAAGGAATAATGAGGGGAGCAGTGAGCACATTCATGTTTCTGAAACTGTGCACTCCTTTACTGTGTGTACTTGCTATCAGTCTCAAGTTATAATTTGTCTTTGGAAAATGGTTTTGTACTTTGACATTTCAGCCTTGCAGTGCACAGACAATGCTTGAATGGCAAGTGCCCTTTGCTTGACAGCCGAATTAATCTTTCAGTTAGAAACTCAAACTGAGTTCTGAGCTTCAATGCTAGGACGATGACACCTTAAATTGATTTTATCTGTGCAAACCTCACTTATAAGGCCTAAACAGTCCACTTTCTCCTGTAAGGTCTTGGTTTTCTGCTTCAGCACCACGGATAGTTCCCCACAAACAAGCTTGCAACAGAGGTCTTCTGCATGCATACTTCTTTATTTGATGAGTATTTTGCCAAATCACCATTGTACGTGGATTCACAAAACACCAGCCAATTAAAGCATTATTCAGCCACATATATTTTAAGGAGTTAAATGTCTGGTCTGTGTTCATTTGCATTCAGGGTCACTAGGGCACAAAGAATATGAATTGTGCAGAAAGCAGACAAATTCCCTAAACGGTTTGCCAGTCCATCACTGGGCCAAAAGAGTGACAGGACCTCACAGAACTCCAACAACTGCTGCCCCGATGTGCCACCCACATCCTGAACGAGCTCATTTAAATTCTGTCGTCTGACTGCTCCGTTCCGAGAAGCCCCCAGTGCAGACAACCAATTAGACGGAGTTAGCATTCTGTAAACTCTGTGTTTGTTTGTGTTTTTTTTTATGGATTCACACAAATGAGCAAGATACACAGATTTAAAAGCCTCTTTGAAACACAATGTATCACCACGATTCAGTTAATGGAACACTTTTTGTCAACAAACCTCTTAACATTACAGACGTCACATCAATTTCCATCCACATTTGTGTGTTTATTTCTGTTCCTCTGCAGCTGTGTGTTTATTAGCCGTCCGCCAAGCTTGAGCCACCATGCAACAGTACTTCTGTATTCCTAGTTCATTTTTATTGTATTTAATAAAATGCAACTTGAGCAGCTCAGACATCACACTCTCGGTTGTGTGCATGCACACAACACAAGACAATGACCTTTTAACACAGATTTTCTAATGTGCTTCTGCACCATGAAGCAGAAGAGTTGGGATGCATACATCAGTAACAAAAATGGTCTCTACATTCTTGTCCAATTTGGAAAGAAGCATTTAGGATTCTTTTTGCTTAGCAATAAAAATAACTAAACGTGCATGATGTTACAAGACACGAGTAAACTTTGGTTATCGCAGATGTCACAGCGAGAAACTTGATACAGCCTCTGAGACAACATGTTAGATGATATCAGCGCCTGATGGAACGTGCTAATGAAAAAAAGCTAATGAGACGTAATAACTTTCCAGCTCCTGCCTTTGAAAGCAAATACCTGAGTGGAGTAATGCAGCCACTTTCAAGCAGGGACTCCAAAACAAATCACGTTTCCTTTCAGTGGGTGTAATGAAGTCATCTTCAGTTTTATTCTAACAATCAAATTCACAAATTTGGATAGAATTAACTTTTTGTCTAATAGATGGCTTTGACAGATGAGAGTAATTAACTGTATTTGCTTCATGTGCATAAAGGTACACCTTCAAGTGGAAAAGTTGTGGTTATGAAATATATTTTGTAGTTTTTTTCTGTTCAGCTCATCACTTTCTAAACGAATATAAATTTAGTTTTTAGCATTTGTTTTACTTTCACTTTATGCCCTTTATAAAATTGAGGCTCGGGCAATAAAAACTTGGTTAGGTAAAAGCAATGTTAAGTAAAAAACGAATGTTAAGGGAGACGAACCCCCTCACTGCAAATACACTTAACACACAAATAAATAAATTGTATCCTCTTCACAATTCTTAATTTAGATTTTTACTAAGACAATGCTAATTATTACAGATCAAAGGTATCAGCATTCTTAATTTGAAGGAAAAAAATGCAAACATCTGCATTATGATAGTATTTAAATGTAATGTGTCTTGTCCATCTCAACAAGCAGAAAGCACCCTTATATGAAGCAGAACTATGGTTTATACAGATAAAGTTGTAATTTCTAATTGTGCAGCCACGTCAAGTAAAATTATGGTGACAAAAATGTTGGCTTACCTCCAATCCACACCAGGAGCATCTACAGCGCATTACGACAGTCTTGGCTTCAACTGGAAGCCATCACAGTGTGTGGTGTGGTTCACACCGACTACAGAGCGGAACAGTTCAGACGTGTCCAAGAAGTGTCGCGTCTTGTTGCTAAAGTTAGGACTGGGTTCTATTTTTCCTGCAACATGCTTCAAACATGTGCCGAGCTCTGTAGTTAACATTGGGCTGGACAGGAGATCACACACAGCATTGGTGTATAGTTTCAAAACAAAAGAAATTGCAGAGTTACGATTCCTTAACTGAATAAACATTGCATATTTACTCGTGATCGAATGGCTTATTATCTCCATGAATTTGTTGAGGAAAGCAAAAATGTGTTTTTCAGGATGATCGAGGCTTTTATTCTGGCAGTAAAGAATTACAACGTTATACATAACACCACACTTCTGCTTTACAAAGACAACACCAACAGCGAGAAGATATTGACCAAAAAAATCAACAAATGCTGAGTTTATAATAGTCATAATATAAAAATAAGGTTTTTTTAAAGCACACAGCATCATTTTCCCATGATTTTGTGAGTCCAACTACACGTACTGTGGTGAGGCACTGCATCCGCGTTGCAAGCAAACCGCGCCGCTGCTGCAACACGCCTCAGTTTGGATTCGGGGTTATTCAGGTTTCCTTATTTTGACAACTGTCATGCTGAAAGATGCATCCAGTCTGAAAAAAAAGCATTGTGGTAGTTCAGTAACTACTTTGCACATAAACGCCATCTAGTGATGATGTCATCTGCAAGTTACAACCAGGTCCTGGTGGAAAAAACAAACAAAAACAACCACCCAAAACCACTTGTTAGATAATTACAACAAAGCCTTTCAGCTGGTTAAACATCAATTCTTGCTTTATATTAGACTGTTTCATTTCTCCAGTGTCTATCATCATAAATAGAATGACACTCACTTTGTCAGGATTTACAGTAAAAATGGGTTAGACATTTTTTTTTCCTTTTTTTCCTTTAGGGTCCCGTCTTCGCCAGGAAGATTTCCCCCCTCGCATTCTTGAGCACCCTTCTGACCTTGTTGTGTCCAAAGGAGAACCAGCCACGCTCAACTGCAAAGCCGAAGGCCGTCCAACACCCACAGTGGAATGGTACAAAGACGGGGAGCGTGTTGAGACAGATCGGGAGAACCCTCGCTCCCACCGAATGCTTCTCCCCAGCGGGTCCCTCTTCTTCCTGCGTATTGTGCACGGGCGTCGCAGCAGGCCAGATGATGGCATCTATGTGTGCATCGCACGAAACTATCTGGGAGAGGCAGTAAGTCGGAATGCATCTCTGGAAGTTGCACGTAAGTCTGACTTTGAATCCTGTTCTTTGTGTCACAATGGTCATGGTCAATAAAATCTCAGTGCTGCATGATGGAAAAACGGCTCCACATGATGTGTCAAGGTCAGTCACCTTTCTTAGGGTGTACGAAAATGTGCAAATGCTGAATTTGAAAAAATGGTATGGTTCATGTTTAATCAGGTGTAACATTTTGGGGCATTTGTGCTACAGCATCCATAAACAATGTCATCTGTCATGATATGCACGGCTTCACCTTTCAGCTGAACCCAAAAGAGTGCATACGGGTGTGTTGTATGCTCAGCACGTTTGCGCATATGTGTGCGAATATGTTTTGCAGACTGCTGGTGAGACCTGTTTGGATGACCTGCTTGAGTAATGTATGGACAGAGCCGTGAACTGCTCCGGGGAGGATTAAGGAAGGGGGCAGGATTTTAACCCAGCTAACTCCTTTTCACACTGTTTTGGTTTGGAAAGATGCAGCCAGCTCCCAGCCAGATCTCTCCCTGTGTGGGAGAGAGGCGCTCTGGGCTATTCACATTTCCATTATGTGCTAAACTGAGCTGATTTCTTGCCATGAACAAGATGCACACACGCTCGGACGCACACACTGATATACATGCATGCACACACGCTTAAAACACACACTTTTGTTTTCTGCTTTCACAGACAGGGAATTCAATGCAAACTGCCTTTTGTGGATTGCTTTTGAGTTTAAAGAATATCAGCGTATTTGTGCTTATTACAAAGATATTAAAAAGCAAAAAGGTTTGATCGATTGTGGTTTATTATAAAATTACTTTTGCGTAAAAGCGAGTTCTCAGGTTCAGAATTATGGTCTAAATGTTGCTGTTTTGGTGTATTTTTGATCCACTCTGGATCCGTGGTTCACTTTATGGGGAAATCGTGAGCTCAGAAGAAAAACAAAGCATAGATAAAAACTGAGAACTTAATAGAAGATTAATCTGCAAAATTATCAAAGATCTCAGTTTTTTTTGGTCCTTTATTTCAGCTACAGAAATGATTAGTTACCTTGGAAATACCAATCTTCATGCAGATCCCTGAAACAGGAGTGTGTGTCAGAGCCCAGGCTTGCACAAGAAGCTTTTTGGTGTATGAAGCAGAACCAGATTACCATTTTGTAGAGAAGTTACCATAAGAAAAGTATCCCTTTCTCACTGTAATCTAAATCTATGCTCCGCTGCATGTCACATTTACATTGCACATCTTGAGCTGCAGAGTTGTTTGATACTTGTGAATAATTCTCTCGTAAAGAAACCAGAGACCCAAAACTGTCGTTATGGTGTCAGGAGAGTAATGCTATGGCTGCTTCACTGATTCCCTTCATTGAAAGGAGACCGACTTTATGAACACAATGATTGTGCCAGAGTAATTTCGTGGGGATTTTCTGGCTTTTTTAAGTACCATAAAGCTCATTTGCAGCTTTTAGTTCACTTTTTCCACAAGAAAATATTTCTCGTTAGTGCAAAAGTTTGATTATCATCTATAAATACAGTTTTCTGTTATTTAAACATGTGTATGGACTCTGTATCTTTACTACACATGAAGAAAATGATCCAACTTGCTGATTTAATAGTGAAAAATCAAACGTGCATTAGTTAAATCTAGACATGAAGCTTTGATGTTTGCCCCATAGGCAGCTCTAATGTTTTTTGTAATGGTGAAATGATGTGAGTCTTAGATGATTTATGATGCAGCATTCAGAATCCCTGCAGGCGTCTTCACGAACCAATGGCATGCATTTGGCTAAATGTGTATAGAACCGTCGTGGTGAGTGAGGAAATTGTGAAGGATCAATGATGGCTCAGGGAAATCACATCACACTAGGTCTGTGTTCTTTATCTGCTTTACGAACCATGCAGTACCTTATAAGTGCTCCTATTTCAAGGCGGTGATTGTCACATAATAAAGCCAAAAACTGAGACCTTTTCCTGTTTTAAAAATCTGAAGTCTTAGCTACCACTAAAACATTTATTTATGTCCTCAAAAAATTTTAATAGGTTGATTTTTCTGCAGCTTTTCCAATTCCAAAGCTGGATGACCCATTCAGCTCCTAGACTTCTCTGTCTGCAGAATATTATGTTTACAGGGAAGGAAAGTCATATGAGTCCTCCAGGGGCTGCAGGTTCTTGCCAGTATTCCTGCAGCCAAAGTTGTCATGCAAAGCTCCGGGTGAGAGCAAGTGGGTAGATAAAAGTGCTTGTGGGGATGATTCTGACAATGAGCATGGATTGAAATGGTCATTTTTTGTCAGGAGTCCGCACACAACGACACATTTCCTAATGGGTTGTAGCAATGGATCTTAACCAGTGGTTCAGAAAATGTAGCTAACCAGAGGGGCGCTGCTCCCTCGGGTACATTTCTGCTATACAAGACCAATTTTAGTGGCTTGTCAAGCGTTTTATTTATTTATTTTTTTATTTTTTGCCAGCTTCAGACTGACTGAAATTTGATGCGGCATTATTCATTCCATCTGATAGAAAACACTTCAGCTGTTTAAGATGGCAACAGAGCTTAAAATATGCTAATTATTCAGACGTGCCAGGCAATTCTACAGCTGGCAGGTTGGCAAAACAAATAACAAACCTCACAACATTTGTTTGTTTTTAATGAAGTACAGAAACACTTAGTTCTGCTCATTTGCTAGTGAGGCCTAAACGACAACAGCCGTCGACAACAACAGTAACAGCAACAACTGCAATAATAATAATAATAATAATAATAATAATAATAATAATAATAATAATGGTATTAAGATATTACATGCTAGTTTGATGTATCGCACCATATGTTTACACTCATTAGCCTCTATTACAATAAGTCCATGTTACAAGGTCCTGGGTTGGACTCCTCTCTGCCTTCAAAAATTCCTGTTAGTTTTAGAATGAGCAAAGGTGCTGTTAACATTGCTCGGGTATTTTGGTCAGTATTGACAGGAGAGCATCACATATCTGCTGTAAATGTGTTGACTGCACATCTGATGCACATCTCCGCTTCTGCTACACTCTAAAGGTACTGGATTTGGACTGACACTTCTGACACCAACAAGGCAGTTTTGTCCAAATATTTACTACATTTTGGGTTCTTTCCCCTTTTTTCAGATTATATTAGAGATTAGAGAGATTTATTTTCATTGTCACAAAAACAATGAAATTATGTTTGGAGCAACAACACTGCACAGTATAATATAATCATTTAGCACGTTATGACATCAGTGCACCTAAGTAACAGTGGCAGAGAGTGACACAGTGCAACAATGCAACAACCAGTTCAGAGCTATTGTTACAGTGGAAAAGGTTTTTGTCCATGGGAGGGGGCCAGAGAGGGGTAGTGGGGTGTAGCGGCCAACAGTCCAACTATTCAAACCAAACCGTCCTCTGTAGACTTATTTTCAAGAAGAGGGCCAAAGTAGTAGTTTAAATGTATTGCAGGCCCCAAATTTTGATTTTATTTGTTTAAAAAAATGCAAAGATAATTTATGTTCATTTTATTCATTTGTACACATCAGCATTAGCCTGGCAAAGCCATCCTATGTATAAGAATATATAGTGTGCCAAAGGTCCATTGACGGCTCTTCTTCATGGGAAGAGATCCACAGCTGTCTTTTAAACTGCCTCCGTATGCTCCTGGACAACAAACAATGTGACATACTTACCTCCAAGGATGTCAGTCAACAGGGCAGTCCGCCATACTCCATCAAAGAAGATGCAAATGCATGCTTTTTTTCTAAATAAACTTAAGTACTTCTATCTGCTCTTGACTCAAAGAAAAGTCCAAGTCAAAATTGTGAAAAGTGGACGCCAAAGCCGTTTCAAACAGTATTGTCATCGTTGTATCAGTAACATCCCGCCCACCAAAAGAGCGTTGTGATTGGCCCACAAAAACAAAAGAGTGCTGTGACTGGACCGCTACGGAGCAGTCACCATTTTTGTTTTGCTCGGTTACACTGACATCCCGTCCAGCTGGCTGATAATGTGACATGATTGGCCCACCAAACCAATAGAATGCTGTGATTGAACCATCACGGATGTCAGTCAATGGAGCAGTCCATTACATCATAGAGGAACTACATAAAAAAAAACAGTTCATAGTTTTTATTATTATTATTTTTTTATTAAACGCGCTGTGATTAGCCAGCCACAACACTGACCGGCGCTGCAGAGGTTCCAATGGAACGTTGCTAGATTGCTAAATTCAAGGCTATCTCGACATAGGCTCAAAACAAAATATATGAGCTTAAAGATGTTCAAAAGTGTCAGTTTGTGTCAACAGCTTATAGGAGAGACAAAATTAATCATTTTTTAAATTCAAGTGGGGGCACAACACCAACAACACCCAGATCCGCTGTCTTCGTCATACCGATGCTCAGGTTGAACATAGGCATGTTGTCTTCCCACATCTAGAAGCCTAAATGCACTGAGTTGCTGCCATGCTGTTTGTACTAAACAATTGATTGGCATACCTAATAATGTGACTAGTGAGTGTAAATCCACACCTCTTTCCCGTATTACCAACCAAAGATTAGTTAGTCCTTTTTGCTTCACTTTACTTTTTGTGCCTAATCACCTTCCCTCAGGTTTACCTCATGGCTACAACGTCCACAGGGACATCGCATAAACATACCTTTATCCCATCTCTATGGTTATTTAATCTGTATTAAATCTTTCAGTGCACAGGTTTTTTTCCCCTCTAGAATTGTGGATTTGCAAGCCAAGTGAATTACATTGAACCCAGAGCTTGCATTAGCTGAAAAATGATTGTATTAACCCTTTTATAACCTTGTTATTTCTGGCTGGAATTAAATAAGAAAAAGGACACAGAAAAGAACAAGATTTGATCCTCAGGCCAATAGGTGTGTGTGTGTGTGTGTTTGGGTGGGGGGGTGTGGGGGGGTGTATAATATTGGTTTGATCGACATCATAAGGCTTAGATCTGAAGTATTTTCACCCCTGTTGAAATTGGATTTCCTGAGCAGTCTTGTGT